TATATATATATATATATATATATATATATATATATATATATATATATATATATATATATATATATATATATATATATATATATATATATATATATATATATATATATATATATATATATATATATATATATATATATATATATATATATATATATATATATGGGATTGACTCTAGTGAGATGACACCTTACGGTGAGATGACATCCTATGGTCAGATGACGCAAAGCTCACCACTGCCAACTGCAAAGCTAACCAAGGACAACTACAAAGCTCACCAAATTGTAAGGCAAAGCTTACCATATTTTTTCAGCACTTTGAATTTTTTTTGAAAAAATAAAATCAAAGAAAGGAGTGCTGACTGGACTTTGACCGTTGACCGAGACCTTTGACCGCCACCTGCTGCCGCCGGCCACCGCCGGTCGCCGGAATCTGCAGCCGCCGCCGGTCGCCGGAATCCGCCGCCACCGGTCGCCGGAATCCGCCGCCACCAGTCGTCGGAGTCCGCCGCAGCCGGCCGCCGCCCCGCCGCTGGTCACCGGAATCCGCCTCCGGTCGCCGGCAACCGCCGCCGCTGATCGGTGGTTGACCGGTGTTGCTAATTTATTTTTTATTAATTTTAAATATTTAAAATTTAAAAAAAGGTGAGCTTTGGTATTCAAAGTGGTGAGCTTTACTTTATTTCTAGGTGAGCTTTGCATTATCCATTGGTGAGCTTTGTAGTGTAGTGTGGTGAGCTTTGCATCATCTCACCAAAGCATGTCATCTCACCATAATGTGTCAACTTACCGGAGTCAATCCCCATATATATATATGTTATATTATTTATTTTGTGTTAATTATATTCCTTAATGGGGTGTTTCAAAATTAACAAAGTAAAGTAGGAATGTGATTTCATTTCTTTCCTAAACACTAAAAGGTACATTCCCATCAGGAAAAGGAATGTAGATTTGCTCCTTTAGTATTGTCTATTTTAACATTGATAGATTAAATAGAATTATAGAATTAATATTTGGAATTATATTTTTATAAATTTGACAATATGATTCTCAGATTGGATAAAATTATTCATAATTAAATATTTAACTTGAATATTTAATTTGTAATTTTGGAATAAATTGTTTCTGTAATTACTGCAATTTTCGAAACTAATTTTCTAAAATTTAATAATTAATGTTTAAACTTTGAGAATTTGTTATTTGGTATGAATATCTAAATATTGTGAAAATACTGATTTTTGTAATAATTATGATATATGAAACAATTGTAGTAGTTATATTCTAGAATTATCGAATAATAAATTAAGATTTAGGAAAATCAAATTTTGCGAAATTTGGAAATTTGATTTTCAGATTATACATGAGTAAAAATCTTTATTTTAAGAAAATATTTATTTTTGGAATATTCAAAATTAAATTTCGAAACAAATTTCATTCTCTTTGAAATAAATTCCATAATACCAAAAATAAAATTTTTTTAAAACTGGAAATTTTATTTTCAGATTGAATCTGATCCAAAATATTTAATTTTGGAAATTATGGATTTGGGAATATCCGAAATCAATTTTGGAAATTAAATTCAGGTCTTACACGATTAAATATAGAATTTAGAAAAATAAACTTTTATAAATTCTGGAAATTTGATTTTCAGACTTATAAAATCGAAATACATATTTTGGAATTTATTTGTTAATTTTAAAAAGGCATAAGTATTTATTTCAAATTAAAAACTCAATTTTGAAATTAATACCTATATTTATGGAAATTATATATTTTCAAATTTAGGAAAATTAAAAATTAAATTTTGGATGTTTTGTAGTTTTAAAATAAAACTAAAATAAAATTATTTGATAATTTTAGGCTTGTAGTTTATTTTTTTAGAATAAACTAGGTCTGGGGCGAGCGCCGCTTGCCCGGTGTATGGATTTTATGCATGTTATGTATGAATATTTGCATGGTGCATGGTTGTGGCTTAGAATGTGTGGTTTTTAAATACGGAATGTGTGTCGTGCCTCATCTCTAAATTCATGTTGTAAATCTATTCTTAAACCTCATACCTCTTGCTTACAAAGCAAGGATTCTTTTCTCTCAATTAAACAAAGAAGTCCATGAATAAGTCAGGAAGATGAAGGAGCCAAGAAGAAAAGGACATTAGCAAGATGGGCTAGGTAGTACACATGCACCATCCTCAAGCAGAGCCAAAGCAAACCAATACCAAACCAATATCAAACAAAGTCTAGAGAAAGAGAAGTCTAGGTAGTACACATGCACCATCCTCAAGGTTAAGCAAACGACATCAAAGCAGTTGTAGGATATAAACAAAGAGGGTGAAGTCGGAGATAGAGATCTCAAGTGAAGGCTTTATCGTTAGTTTCTTTAGGAGGCCACAACCATGTCACGTTTTATTCATTATACATGTTTGTATGCTTAAATGTATGCTTGAATGATGTTCGCTAGTGTAGGTGCGCGGCACATACCAATATACCATAGGTGAGACCACATTAAAAATCCCTTGTAATATTTAGCATCTGCCTTCCAACGCCTACTCACTCGTCATTACTAGTTTTTGACCAGTCAACGGACACACCAAAGCGGGACGCTTGGTTAACATTGGTATGACGCGAAATCCGTAACAATGGATACTGAGTACGTCCCGAGTTGGACTTAACTAAATTAAGGTAAAAAGATGAATAACTTAGAGGCACATGGTTAGGTTAATAAATAAAATCAAGTTCATCTAGCCAAAGTTGTAAAGTGTTACTATAACACCTGATCCGTCCAGGTCTCCAGCCCCTTTCGGACTAAAGTATAAACTTGGTATTCATAAACATTTAAAATATTCAAACATTTTTAAAACTTTATTTCATAATAAATTATTCAGATTAATAATAACGGAGTATTTAAAGTTGTGGAAGCTTAATAAATCACAATTACAGAACATGATAAATTTATGTCTTTTAGAACAGTAATTCGAATTCACACATCCATCCCGACCATCTGCCACTAGAAATAGTCACTTCATTCATTCTGTTTTCCTGCATGTAGCAAATAAAACATACTACACGCTTAGCGGTGAAGCAGAGTAAAGATATCTAATGCATCGAACATCCATATAAATTGAATCTCAATTCATAATCAAATCATTTGTTATCATGAACATAATATTTAGTTCAGGGATTCAACATTCATATTCAATAATGCTCTCAAACTTGTTCTTAGTCTAAGGCCAATTTCTTGATGTTTACCAACTCTTAAACTAATTCTAGTTTGAGATACTTCTAACCAACTCTTAAACTATATTCTAGTTGAAGGTACTCCTAGCCAACTCTTAAGCTAGTCTAGTTTAAGGTACACATTTTAAAAAGGTTTTCCAACTCTTAAACTAGCCTTGCTTAAGGTACACAAGAAACCGAACACCGGAGTGCTCACTGTCAGGTTGGGTTAAATCCCAAATGAGTGATCCTCTAGTTTGGTTTGCGGATCCTGTACGTACGTTTTTACCCTAGCCATTGAATATTCATATTTATACCCGCAAGGCCTATTCTAATCTGAGGTCTATCTCAGAGGTCTTCTAGATAGCCTTAACAATACAATTCATTTCTCATCAATCCATTTATTTTGAATCATAGTTCAACAATTCATAATCATCATTTTATTCAGAATATTCATCAAAACTTAATCATCACAATCATTAATCAATAATATTCATCATAATCATCAATCAATAATAATCATCATAACATCTAATAACAAATAGCGGCCTAGCACCGAGTGTTAACACCCTAGCTTATCGTCATACATCACATAAGATTTTATTTGCAAAAAACATCACTTGTATTTCGATAAATTATCTTTATATCGATCATAATTGATTGGTATCAAAAATAGGATTTTTCAGATTTAAAAATGTTTGGATCGGGCAGCTCAGTATATGAAATGGAAGAAAATCGGGGACATTGTTACCTTAATGGATACTCAATATCCATTATCACAAAATCAGGGACATTGGGACGTAACAATGGATACTGAGTGCGTCTTTGTTTTTTTCGGTTTTTTCCAATTTCTTCTAGTTTTTTCTAACATCCAACTCTTTTTTTGCAGTCTTAAAGAACAGGCTCTTAATCTATTTGTTATATATATATATATATGTATGTATGTATATGTATATATATATGTATATATATGTGTGTATATATATATATATATATATATATATATATATATATATATATATATATATATATATGGGATTGACTCTAGTCAGATGACATGTTTCGGTCAGATGACACTTTCGTTCAGATGACAATGTTTGGCCCATTCGGAATCAACGTAGCGCTCATTCAAAATTAAGGTAGGATTCGTTCTCACACAACTGTTCATCACAATGTAGTAATCATTCTTAAACAACATAGTGTTCATTCAAAATCTGCTAGACGACATCATTGGGTTCATTTTGAATCCACGTCGTGTTTATTCTAAGACATCGTAGGGTGGATTTTCACACATTTGTTCATTATAAACGTAGTACTCATTCTGAAACAACCTAGTACCCATTCAAAGTCAGCTCAGTGTAGTGTTCATTTTGAAATAAGGCGGTGCTCATTCCCAAACAAGGTGGTGCTCATTCTGAAGCAAGTCATCTGACCGAAAGTGTCATATTACTGAAAGATGTCATCTGACTGGAGTCAATCTATATATATATATATATATATATATATATATATATATATATTAGAAGAGAACTTTATTCAGAATGAACAGGAAAGCGGAAGGGTTACAACGCGTCTGGAGATGAAGTTCTCCTAAAGCTAAAACAAAAAAGAACAAAAAACAATCTGGATCAAGCGAGTCCCGCCTTAACTCTCTTTCCACTTAGCCAAAAATAGCCTTTGCCCATTTGAGATTGATCCTTAGACCTCATCATCCATTTCTTTTTTCGGTGGACCCAGCACCATTTTTGAACAAGGTTTCTCACCATCTTTTCCATACCATGAGGGGATACTGTAGCAGAGTCATATAGTGATTGGTTATGGGATTTCCAAAGAGTCCATGCAATGACTCCTGATAGAACAATGCACAGATGAGAACGAAAGGATTGACCTTTAGCTCCAATCCACCACGCCATAAGATGTTGCGTGATGCTCGTACCCGGTTTCGGAAGGGGGCCTCCAAGCATGTTACCAAACAGGTTCCAAATATGGACACAGACAGGGCAGTGGAGAAGAGTGTGGTTGACATTGTCTTCCTCAATTTTGCACAGGGGGCATCTCCCACAAAGAAGGAAGCCAAGTTTCCTGAGGTTCGGAGTGAAAGGTAATGCATTGTTGAAAAGTTTCCACAGGAAAAGTTTTAGATTAGGAATATGGAGCTTGTGCCAAATGAAACTACAGGAGAGAGGCAAGGGGGAGGGCTGTAGGAAACTGGAGAAGGCAGACTTGAGAGAGAAAGGTCCCAGATTTGTGTGTTGAGCCCCATATCCATAGGTTTCGACGGCATGTAGGTGTATCCTTGCTATCCTTTTCCACGCCGGAGAGTCAGAAGTTCTCTCTTTGATGGTATTGTGGTTAGAAAGGTACCTAGCTCTCATCAGTTTAGTCCACAAGCTGTCCTCCATATGGATTTTCCACCACAGCTTTAGGGAGTAAGCTTGATGAATTTGATGAAGATTTCTAATTCCCAGCCCGCCTTGATTCGTTGGAAGACAAACCTTGTTCCAGCTGACCCAGTGATGTTTCTGTTTCCCTTCTTTGGCTCCCCAGAGGAAACTTTCCATCCTTCTATGGAGAAGTTTAATCACCTCTAGGGGGAGGGACTGAACGGCCATTAAGTGTAAAGGGATTGATGACAATACGTGCTTAATGAGGATGAGTCTACCCATGGGGTTGAGGGCTTTACTATACCAAGAAGAGAGGAATTTATCAAAGTGGTTTAACAGGGAGGTACAATGTTCCTTTTTCAGCTTTCCTTTACAAATTGTTTCTCCAAGATATATAAAAGGCTTTATACCTGGCTTCATACCCAATGCCCTTTCCATAGCCATACAAGATGCAGAGGGAGTCCTTGTAGGGATGTAGAATTTACTCTTTTCGTAGTTGATAGCCTGACCAGATGCTGCAAGGTAAGTGTCAAGAATGCCTTTAACTCTGAGGAGATTCCTGAAGTGTCCATTGGTGAAGAGGATCAAGTCGTCTGCAAAGGCCAAATGGCTAATTCTGGGACATCTTCCTGCATTAAAAGGGGTTATGAAGCCTGAGTTCACATGATGATTAAGGGATCAGCTAAGCCCCTCAACCCCCAGGATGTAGAGTAAGGGGGAAAGGGGGTCCCCTTGTTTGACGCCCCTATTCATTTTGAAAAAACCTGAGGGCTCTCCATTGATTAGGACTGAGAAATGAGTGGATTTAAGGTTTGCGAGGAGGGTTTTGGAGGCAGGAGAGGAGAAACCGAATGCGGAAAGGATTCCCTGGAGATACTCCCAGCTCAGCCTATCAAACGCCTTGGCCATGTCCACCTTGATGATGATATTGCTTCCATTTACTTTTCTGTCTAGGGAGTGATGAAGTTCTCTCGTGGTAAGGATCTGGTCAGCAATGTCCTTCCCAGTTTGAAATGCCCCTTGTTCCACGGAGATGAGCTTGGGTAGGAGTGCTTTGAGTCTGGAGGCTAGGAGTTTGCTATTGATTTTACTCATGAAAGTAGAGAGGGAAATGGGGCGAAAATCACTGAAAGTTTGGGGGTTGGGGGATTTGGGTATTAGGGTGATGATGGTTGCCCCATACGCAACAGGAGGTGGGATTCACACGAAGAACCTGTGCTGCCAATAGAAGATCGTTCCCCATAATATGCCAAGTTTTTCGAAAGAATTCTCCATTAAATCCATCCGGGCCACAAGTACTATGTGGGTCAAGGTCCCAAACTGCCTGTTTAACTTCCTCCAAGGAAGGAAGACGAGTAATCAGCGCATTATCTTCATCATTGATCAGGTGGGGGATATCGAATGAGGTTATCCGACGTCAAGTAGGTATGGCACCGGTGGAAGACAAGTTGCGGAAAGCGAGGTTGAGGTGGCTTGGCCATGTGAGACGGTGGGATGCTGACGCCCCTGTACGGAGATGCGAGAGGATTACGATTATCGGGGGAAGTAGGGGAAGGGGTAGACCTAAGAAGAATTGGGAGGAGGTGATAAGACAGGATTTAGGACTTCTCGACCTGACTGAGGATATGGCCCTAGATAGGAACCTTTGGAGAACTAGGATTAGAGTAGCTGGATAGGAGCTCGGTGTTGTAGAGGTTGTTTTGTAGTGTGTTGTATTTGTTGGGAATCTTTGGCTATTGTTTGTACTTGTTGCTTATACTTGGTGCCTTATCTGTGCTATACTGTGTTCTCTTCCATATTTTTGTGCAGGTGGAGCCGGGGGTCTCTTGGAAACAGCCTCCCTACTTCCGAATAGGGGCAAGGTCTGCGTACACACACCCTCCCCAGACCCTACTGATGTGGGATTCAACTGGGTTGTTGTTGTTGTTGTTGTTGATCAGGTGGGGGATAAATTTCAGAGTATCCTGAGGATTAACTGTGCTTGAATGGGAGAAAGTTTGGGTGAAAAAATCCACAGCTTCCGCCTTAATGTTTGCAGCATCCCTAAGTGTATTGCCTAATCTCGATTTGATTTGAGATATGGTGAGTTTGGCTCTCCTACCCTTAACAAAGGAGTGGAAGAATTTTGAATTGTTATCTCCTTTTTCCAACCATCTGATGTGAGCTTTTTGCTTCCAAAATCCTGTCTCCTTATTTGTGGCCAGCAAGAGATTAGCCGTAGCTTGTGACCAGGCTTCCCTAGTGGAATCAGTAGGGTTAGATTGTTAGAATCAAACGAAAGTTCTGCAGTGATGGCTTCCTCCTCGGCTTTTTTGAGATTCTGAAAAATGTCCCCAAAGGTTTCCTTGTTCCACTTCCTTAGAATCGTTTTGAGCTCAATAAGTTTGTTGCTTAAGCCTCTCATACCTCCACAAGTGCCAGTAGAGATCCAGAAGTGTTCAATAGTTGATAAGAGGGTGGGATCGGAGAACCAAGCATTAAGGACTCTAAAACCCCTAGAAGTTCTAGGGGTTTCCATTGTGCATTCCAACAGCAGGGGGTTGTGGTCTGATCCAGCTTTGCAAAGATGGTGGCATTTAATATCTGCAAAAAAATTTAGACTTTCAATGTTAGCAAGGAGTCTATCCAACCTCCTCCAAAGGCGTCCTTGTCCTCTATTTCCACTCCAAGTGAACCAACCCTTAACAGGTTGGATACTCATGAGTGAGTTGAGTGATAGACATTCTTGGAAGTCTTCCATGCTTTTGAGGGATGGACTTGATTTTCCTTTGTGTTCATCAGGCGTAAGGATTGCGTTGAAGTCTCCGCCCACTATCCAGGCCTCATTTGCAGGACAAAAATATGAGAGGGAAAGCCATAGGTCCTGACGATCAACAATGGAGTGTTTTCCATAGACAGCCGTAATATTAAGGATTTTGTTAAGATCCTTGTGAAGAAATCTGCAGGAAATGGTTTGGATGTTACTGGTGTGCCCAAGGAGGTGAAGGATATCGTCATGCCAGAAGATCCAAATTTTATTAGAAGGGTTTGCCATGCAATGGGAGAACCCCAGAGAGAGGTTAAAGAAGGGAAGTTTATTACAATCAACCAGAGGTTCAAGGACTGAAAGGAAGGGGAGAGAATGGATATTGAGAAGGGATTTAAGCCTGTGAAGAGACGAGGCAATCCCACGGATATTCCAGAATAAGAGCTTCATAGGTTAACGGGATGAGGGACGCCAATGCCAAGTTTCTGGCTTCTGGTGAGGATATTGCTTGGTGGGTAGCTCCTCTTTTTTCTAGGCCCCCTAGGTGCACCAACCCCTTTAGATACATGCTTAGCAATGTTTAAGTGGAGTGGAAGAAGTTCCCCTTTAATGAAAGGCTCGTATTCTCCTTCTGAGTGACAATGCAGCTCCACCAAATCCTCCTGTGAGAAATCCGAAGGGTAAAGATCATGTAAACCAAGGGAGTGAAGGATGGTAAGGGTTGGATCTTGGGAAATAAAGTCCGTCATGGAATCATCTTTGCTTCCACCGGCCTGGCAGGAGGTGTATGGCGTGGAAGGGTCAAGGTCAATAAGGTTGGGGGGGGGAAGGGATGGGTTTGGAGGAGGATGGTTGGGGATGAGGAATGGGGGGTTCCAGGGGAAGGACTGACAGAACCTCAGAATCATCAAATAAGGGAGTGAGCTGTGGACCATCTGGCAAGGAGAGAGCATTGGGGTGAGGGATGGGAGGAACAGGGGTTGGGTGGGGCAATATGGGTTTGGAGGCCAGTGCTTGGCAAGAATACCACGGAGCAGGGCCAGCTTTTCTTTTCCAGAAGTGGGTAACTTTATCCTTTGTCGTTTGTTGCTTGTTCTTTTTTCCTTGAACCACAATCCAACCAGCATCTTCATCTCTAGCCCCTGCCACCTTATCCTTGCCGATGTTGTGGACTTTCCTGCCGGCAAATCCCCGACTAAGGCAACTTTGCAAGGCATGCCCAAGTTTCAAGCATGAATGGCAGAAGGATGGTAAATTCTCATAGGATAAAGGGAAAATATGGTCCTTGTCACCCAGCCTGGCATGTACATATGGAGGTAGAGGTTTGGAGACATCTACCTCAATGCAAATCCTAGGTCTCTCCATTCGAGCACCTGATGTTGTATGTTCGTCCATTTTGATAGGCTTACCTATCGCTGAGCAAAGAGAGAAAAGGGGTTTTGGCTGGAGGAGATGAAGAGGGACAGATTTGAGAGTAACCCAAATCGGAACAATAGGGCAGTCCCTATTGTAATGATAGTCAGTAGACCACTTGAACACGTACAGGGTGTGGCTCCCAAACTGCCAAGATCTTCGCAGGAAAAATCTGATGTAGTCATTCTCATTAGCAAAGGAGAATAGGGTGTCATACCTGGTGAGACTCCTGAGATTGACATTTTTAAAGCTAATGACTTTCAGAGTATTCCTAATGGCAGAGATGGGGATGGAGGCTCTGGATCTTCCAATAAGAGAGTGTTGGAATTTGTCTGCAAGGGAACGGATCTCATCATGGGAAAAAGAAACTGAGGGGTTCCCATGGTGGAAACCACCAACAGTGCCAATCGGGTGATCATCAGGGGAAAAGAGTTCCGAGAAAAGCTTTTTTCTGTGAGGTGCAATGGCCGGTTTCTCCGCCGGAAAAGCTGCCGGGGAAAGGAGGAGTCTTTGGATTTACCTACTGAGCCAATGCCAATGATTTTCCCTTTTCTATTGTCTCCGAAGACTACATTTCCTCTTTTAGCATGCTTTATTTGTAAAACTTGGATGCATCTTCGGTCACGTGCTTGGAGCATTGATGTACCCCGGGATGCTCCTACAATGCTTGAGGCCACACCACACATATTAAAACAAATCAAAGGGTTAATATCTAAGTGTTATGATCCTTTTTGGACAGAACTCATTAACCTTTCCTATCCTAAAACCCAAACCATAACCCTTCTCTCCCAAAACCTTCGTTGAGGCCGAACCAACCCATATCCTTCCCAAAATATCCAAAAGTCTTTTATCTTCATTTGATAATCAAAATAAATTCTTTTCCCTCCCTTTTAGCCTTGGACGAAAATGAAGACCAAAAAGACAAACCTTGTGTATTGTTTTCTACTTCTTTTTGTTCCCATCATTTAATAAGACCTTCCCTTCACTTCCCTACACCATTCCCACAAATTCCCCACCTCTTTTATCAAAAATCAGGCCACATTATGTTTTAACCAAGACAAAACACAAATCACAAAATAAAAACAAAATCAGGAAAAGTATTCCTTGATTGAATAGTGCTGATTTTTGTCTTGTTATTTAAAAAGAGTCAAAAACATATCCCCATCATATTCTTCATCATATGGCCGAAATTACCACCAAAAATATCCATAAACACAACCCCATTTACCAAGGATAAGGATAAAAACATCAAGGGGACAAATCCATTGATTAAATAGTGCAAACTTTGTCATATTGTCCTTAATTGTCAAAGCTACCACTTTTCTTGATTCCCCTCTCACATGGCCGAAAATAATGAGCCATATTAAACCAAAATCATATCTAATTAATCCCCTTCTCTTGGTCAATGAGTGCCGCCCACTAAGAATAATAACACATGGATATTAATCACATGATTTGTAGGAAAGTGTAGTGTAATTTCCTTTGTTTTGGCTTATGTATTTCGGCCATGATGCCTTGTATCCTCACCATATTTTACAACATTAATATTACTCTTGAAGTATATTCTTAATTGGTGTGAAGCTAGTTCAATCCATTTTCTAATGAAATATCTCTAAAGTTGGCTACTTTTGAGTGTGTGTTAGGAGTCTATTTTACACACTAGTAGTGATTATTATTGTGTGAAATAGATAACAGCCCGTACGAAAATGCTTTTCTGAAGTATGCCAAGATTGATCTCTACTTTGTTATTGATTTCTCAAACGATAAAAGATATAAAGTAGATAGACCTCCTAATGCCAAAGATTGGGTTCAAGCTAAACATTTGATGATTTTTTAGAGGCTTTCTACGATGCTAATTTACATTTGTCCGGTACTTCCTATGTGACATTTAACTTGCTCTTTTTTGAGATTGTGGCTATATATAAGATGTTGCAAAATCTTGAAGATATTGATGAGGTGATTGATGTTCAAGATATAGAGATTGGTGTAAATAGTGAAGAAGATGAAGTTATGGTAAAAAAAACTTCAATGAAATGGCTTACCGTATGAAGTTGAAATTTGAAAAATATTATGGGAGGCCAAAGAAGTTAAACACCTTGGTGTATATTGCTCCTATTTTTGATCTTAGATATAAGTTGGAGGGTTTAGAAATATGTGTGTGACCTATATGGGGCAACAAGTGGTGATAGTATAATGAACAAAGTTAAGGGGAGTGTTGAGACACTATTTGATGAGTATTGGCAACTTTATAAGCCATCTCAAGCTCAAAGCAGACAAAGTAGTGCGATTCTCAGTGAATTGGAAAATGCTACATCTATGTCAGGTCAAACATATGCTCAACAGTTACAGAAAATGTTAAAAGGGACACAAAGGGCAAGAGGAACAAAGCTGCAAAAATATTTGAATGAGGGACTTGAAGAAGATTCAGAAGTGGGGGATGATTTGTTAGGTTGGTGGCGTGTTCACGGTTTTCGATATCCTGTGCTTGCTCGTATGGCCCGTGATATTTTGGTCGTGCATGTTTCTACCGTAGCATCAGAGTCTGCATTCCGAACATCTTTAACTCCAAAGGTCAACTCTTTACCTTAACTACTTAAACTTATCTTGTATTTATATTTTATTTTGACTTTTTTTAAAGATGGTACAAGCTTTGATATGCTCTCAAGATTGGCTAAAGACATCTAAGAAGATTAACATGGAAGAAACACTCGGTGAGTTAAAATCAATTGAAAAAGGTAACAATTACAATTAGTATTTTAGCATATTGTTTTTATTTACCAAATGCATTTATTTGGCTTAAGCTTATGAGTTATGACCTATCCTTTTTATCAAAATCACTTGGATATTTGTTTTACTTGATATGGCAAATTTGAGTGTTCATGATTGTGTTGTGGATACCGCTGATATTTTAAGGCTTTGATGTGCGGTAGGGGGTAAGATTAAAAATTGATTCCATATTACTTTGTAATTTTTTTTGTGTTGTTTAAATTTATTTCTAGAATTGCATGAACTCATTGCTATATATATATATATATATATATATATATATATATATATATATATATATCTGTGTGTGTGTGCATATTCAAGAGCTCAAGACTATTGGCATTCGGGAATCGGGAGTCTTGGCTTCTCGGGAGTTGAGACTTTGGTTCAGGATCAAGATTTCATGAATTATTTTATAAATATTTGACAATACAGTATACATTTGTGATTTTTGCATTATCTATTGGAGTTGGTGTGGAATTTTAACTTACATATTCTTATTTCCTTTAAGTTAAAACTTATGAATTATGATTGGATATTTGAATATGGTTTTTTGTATTGACTATTGATTATGAGATTTTTTTGGAGGATTGGAGTATGTTGTTTGGAGCTTTAGAGTAATGGAGTATATTGTTTTTCTCAATTCTATTAATTTTTAAAGAAATTGTCATTCTCCTCCCGTGCAAATGTTCAAAGTTTCAATTAATTAGCATATTCCCCTTATTCGGTCCTTATTCGAGCCGGTCCGGACCAGTCCAGTTTTTTCGGTCCCAGTCCGGTCTTACACTTTGTCGGTCCGGTCTACGGTTCATTACTTTGCTCTTATTCGGTCGCAGTCCGGTCCGGGTTTAGACCGATGCACAGTCCTAATGACAACAATGTGATTTGTTCAATTTGAGATTTTTAACACAAAATCACAACTATCTCATCATATTCATGCGAATTTTTTATATAGACTGCAGAGTATAAGTTAACTTTTACTCTTCAAGTTCTTTTAACCCTTCGTAGTATCATTGCAGTCTGTAGAAATCCTATATACAAAATACAACCATACTAGTGATATACCAAGAAACGTACCCCAAATTATACACCAAACATATGCACTAATATTTTAACGATTTACACTTACACAAAATGCTAATACGATAAAAAAATTGTACTAGCATCTGGTGCTGTAAACCATCAGATTAACACAAAATAAAGATGCACACTTGTAATGTACAATTTGGGATACATCCATTGGTATAAAAGTAGCTTAATATTACGGATGTAGTACCGCTGAGATGTGATTGGTGAGAAACCTTTGCAGTGAAATATGACGCTTCAAAATAAGAGTTGGTAACAACCAATATTAATAATGGCATCAAAACTGCTATCAACTTACTACAATATAGTAATATCACTCTCACAGCAAAGAACACATTTCTACAAAAGAATACTGCCTATGATTTTAGGCATTGCATCAGTTACCATGGAATAGCAACAACAACAAAAAAGAAAGAAAGAAAGAAAAAATTGCACTACTTTTTATGGCTCGCGATAGTTTCTGTATTTCTCTGTTAGATTTATCCATGAAACCTTGCGACAAACTCACTGCATGTCCGGGACTTCTTGACCCAAAGTCCCAAACGAGTTATGCTGTGCACACAATGAGCTAAATGGCTCTCTCCCAGTTAGTTAGTGGGTATCTTCAGTCTTTGTTCCATCCGGGGATATTATTTGTCGCTTCGTTCACCATCTTCACTAGTCTCACCTGCAACATTGTGCATGCTAATAAGCATCATCGTCATCATTATTCCTTAATAGCTGGGGTCGGCGGCATAAAATAAAGATTGCAAACTAATTGTCTAAAGTTATAAACTTGTTCTTTATGGAAGCAATGTTTTAGGACGGATGCCTTTTGGACTATAGGTTAGGATATTGATTCGAATTTCTCTCTTGCTAACCATTGAGTTTCTCCCTACTGTCGAACAACTCTCGCTGGCCCTCTTTCATGCCGGCCGCGCTCCCAATTGCCGGTTCTCTCACTCTCTCTCCCGTCAATCCCTCTCTCGCCAAATCCCTTCTCGTCGTTTCTCCATCGGCTCTCTCTAGCCGCTCACTTCTTGGTTTGGACGGCAGTGTAGGTCGGCGGCGGGCGACGGCGGACAGAGACTCCAGGCGGAGGTAAGTTTTCGAACCTCATCCCCCTCCCTCCCCACACCCAACCCTTCCTCCCAGCCCCCCCCCCTCCCTCCCCAAGTCCCCACACCCAACCCGTCCACTCCGCACCCAACCCTAGTCGCCGGTTACCCACACTGCGTCAATAACCACTTCAGCTCCTGATCCCAGCCCTAGATGCTACCAATTGCCTCACTAGATCCCGCCGATCAACCCTAGATCTCGCCAGCAACTAGCTTAGTCACCGCCGGCGCCCGCTTCTCCCCCACCATCACCCCATCACCTGCCACCCGAACTTTTTTCCGCCACCACAATTCTCAGCCAATTTTACCTGCCTTTGTTTTTTTCTGTTATCTCCTTTTTACTGATGATTCTCTTATCCCTCTTTTTATAGATTGTATTGGCCCCCCTTCACTATTTTTATTGCTCTTGTTGCTTGTATTGGTGATTTCTGTTGTTTGCTACTGACTCTATCGTTACCATTGTATTTCTTGCTTGTCTTTTGGTGGTTTTTTTCTTTTTGTAGGTGCTACTTTGCGAGCATAGTGGCTTTGGTTAGCAATGTAGATTTAAGGTCATATCCTGGGGCTAGGAAGGGGGAGGTGCGGAGAGGTAGGTCTTGTGTCCGTTTCGGCTCATGGAACATAGGGACTCTCATCGGTAAGTCGATTGAGCTGGTGCAAATTCTTAAGAGGAAAACGATTGAGGTGGCATGTGTGCAAGAGACTAGATGGGTGGGCACAAACGCACGGGAAGTGGATGGCTTTGAGTTGTGGTATTCCAGCTTTTGGC